TCTGACCCTCCTCCCTCTCATGCTCTCTGTCTCTCATTCTCTCTCTCTCAAATAAAAAAATAAAATAAAATAAAATTAAATTAAAAAAAAAAAAAAACTTTTTAGTTTGATATAGTCCTACTTGTTTATTTTTGCTTTTGTTGTGTTTGCTTTTGGTTTCAGATCCAAAAAATCATCTCCAAGACCAATGTCAAGGAACTTACTGCCTAGGTTTTCTTCTAGGAATTTTATGGTTTCAGGTGTTATATTCAACTCTTTAATCCATTTTGAGTTGATTTTGCATATGGTGTAAGACAGTTGGTCCATTTCATTTTTTTGCATGTGGCTGTCCAGTTTTCCCAGCACCATTTATTGAAGAGACTGTCTTTTCCCTATTGTATATTCTTGGTTGCTTTTTTGTAAATTGACTGTGTAGGTGGGTTTATTTTAGGTCTCTGTTCTGTTCCACTGATCTTTGTGTATGTTTTTTATGCCAGTACCATACTGTTTTGATTACTGTAGGTTTGTAATATAGTTTAAAATCAGGGAGTTTGATGCCTCGAGCATTGTTCTTTCTCAAGATTGCTTTGGCTATTCGAGGTAAAATTTCCTTTCTTTTTAAGGCTGAATAATAGTCCATAGTACATATATGCCATATTTTGTTTATCTGTTCATCTGTCAGTAGATACTTGGGTTGCTTTCATCTTTTGGCTATTGTGACTATTATTGCTATGAACATGGGTGTACAAGTATCTGCTCAAGTCTCTGCTTTCATTTTGAGTATATACCCAGAAGTGGAATTGCTGGGTCATATGATAGTTGTAGTTTTAATTTTTCTAGGAACCACCATACTATTTTCCACAGCAGCTGCATCATTTTACATTTTCATCAACAGTGCACAAGGGTTCCTATTTCCCCCCTCCTTCATCAACTCTTGCTGTGTCCTGTGTTTTTGATAGTAGCCATCCTAATGGATGTGAGGTGGTATGTCATTGTTGCATTATTGTTCCCTAATGACTAGTAATGTTGAGCCCTGTAACTTCGAAAGCTTTAAAGATTTTATTTATTTACTTGACAGAGAGAGACACAGCAAGAGAGGGAACACAAGCAGGGGAAGTGGGAGAGGGAGAAGCAGGCTTCTCGCTGAGCAGGGAGCCCGATGCGGGACTTGATCCCAGGACCTGGGACCATGACCTGAGCCGAAGGCAGACGCTTAATGACTGAGCCACCCAGGCGCCCAGACACAAAGTAGTTTACCAATTGCTATCCCAGTACTACTACCAGTAGTTCACTTACCAACTAAAGTTCAGAATTTATTTGCAGGTCTCTATGCCTTTAGAATATATTCCACCGAGGGAGTAAATTTAATTTAATTGCTTTTTTTTCTTCTGATGGTTATATCATTGGTGATATGCAGTTAGGTTCTTTTATTTCTGTTTATTTTTAGGGCCTTGCCCATCTGGTTAATTTTTAAGCATGTGAAACATTAAAATAAGATTCAAAGCTATTTAAAACAAGCGTACTTAGGGCGCCTGGGTGGCTCAGACGGTTAAGCGTCTGCCTTCAGCTCAGGTCATGATCCCAGGGTCCTGGGATCGAGTCCCGCATTGGGCTCCTTGCTCAGCGGGGAGCCTGCTTCTCCCTCTGCCTGCCATGCTCCCCCTGCTTGTGCTCTCTCTCTGACAAATAAAATCTTAAAAAAAAAAAAGTGTACTTAGAGAAGCCCCATTCCTTTCTTTGCCTTTGTACTCCGTTTCTGTTCCATCTTTTGTAGGTAATCAGTTTTGTTTCTGGTTTATTTTTTCTGTGTTTTTTGCAAAAATGAGCAGATACATATGTATACACACACATACAGATGCACAAATATGCATATAATTTTATTTTTCTTATCCAATAGAGTAGCATACTGGATATATCATTTTCATCTTACTTTTTTCACTTGTAATGTATTTGAAGCCACTCCATGGCAGTTTGAGAGCTCATCCTCATCCTATTATATGTAATTAGTCCTTCTGAATTCTTGGTGTATGTGCCAAGTTCGTTGGGTATAAGTTATCTGTGTTCTTGATAGCTCCTTAGTATAATGGGTATTTAGGAGCTGAATATAAACATGTAAAACATTGGGAAATACCAAAAGATTACTAAAGAAATAATTGGCAACATCACCATTTAGAAATAAATGGCAGTATTTTTTGACTGTTGATTTTACAGGACCTTGAGAGTTAGGGTAAGAAATCTGGACTTGACACAGTTATGTAACTAGAGGAGAGAGGTTATGATGAAAATGTTTTGGGTTAATTGTTTTTAACAGAAAGGGGAAAATGAGGTATGAGGGAGACCAGGACATTGGGACATTTTTATATTAATCTAGACATGAGTTACCCTATATTCTCCACGCAGGTGCTAGATGACTTTCTTCACCTTATCTGCAGCTAATCCCAACATAACTACCTGCTGGGACTAAAGTGAATGCCTCTGTGCCCAGTGCTTTCGAAAGCCTTGTTGCCTTCATTCTCATCCATCTCATCTATTCTCCCTCTATATTCCTCCTCCCTCCCCTTTCAACTCTGTTGGAATCTTGTCCTTTTTTCAAGGTCTACCTCAAAAGCCATATTAACTAGCACTTAGGTGCTTTAGGACAATTTTACTTCATATTATAGACATTGATGTGCATCATCTCCCCTGTTAGACTAGAGTGTCTTATGGATGGGGACCAGGATTGAGTCTCAATTTTTTGTTTTCTCCTATCACCTGGGACATATCCTGCCAGTTTTACAGCTTTACATTGATACCTGAATGAATGACTTGGTTCCTGGTACCTTTGTCATGGTGAGAGAGGGGCAAATCCACATGTGGGTCTATGTATTCACAGAACCCATTTGATTGCCCCCGGGGATCCATCTCCTCTCTATTGGCAGATAGAATATGAGTTAAAAAAAATCTAGGTCTTGTTACTCAAACGGAGCGGCTGATAGAAATTCTTTCAGATGCTGTTGAGTGGGGGCTGAGGGCTTGCAGTATCATCCCTGGTTAAGCATTCTTTAGGTAGTTTACTTCAGGGAAATTGCTGAACATTTATTCACAAAAGCTGATTTAACAGTTGACTTATGGTTCTAATTAGGAAAATCACCCTGGAATTTAGGAGAGATGAAAAATTTAAAAAGCAAGCTAGCTTCGGGAAAGAAAGCTAGCTAGCTTGGAATAATTAAAAATATAGGCAATTCATGGAGCGCCTGGGTGGCTCAGTTGGTTAAGCATCTGAGTCTTGATTTATGCTCAGGTCATGATCTCAGGGTCGTGAGATCGAGCCCTGCATTGGGCTCTGTGCTGAGTATGGAGCTTGCTTAAGATTCTCTCTCTCTCTTGTCCTCCCTCTGCCCCTCCCCCTGCTCACACATGTATGCTCTGTCTCTAAAAAAAATAATAATAAAAAAATAAAGTGGCCCTAGAATACAATGAGGCAGCATTCCTTTCTTTTCTTTTTTTTTAAATACATATGGGCAGGGGCACCTGGGTGGCTCAGCTGGTTGGGCGACTGCCTTCGGCTCAGGTCATGATCCTGGAGTCCCAGGATCGAGTCCTGCATTGGGCTCCCTGCTCAGCGGGGAGTCTGCTTCTCCCTCTGACCCTCCCCTCTCTCATGCTCTCTCTCTATCTCATTTTCTCTCAAATAAATAATTTTAAAAAATCTAAAAAATAAATAAATAAATAAATATATATATGGGCAACTCATGTGTTTGTATAACTTCAATGGATGAATTTAGCTCTAATGAGATTGAGGTTGTGTATAGTGCTCATTATAAAATTCATACATTGTCTGTGGTGATTTCTCTTTGATTAGGTCTCCCTAGGACACCCAGCACTAGGATTTCCCAGCAGAATTCAGGGGCCTTGTTGGATTCTCCCAGAAGAAGTAAACGAAAAGTGGCCTTCTCTGAGATCACCTCACCTACGAAGAGGTCTCAGCCTGATGGACTTCATACTTCATCTCCAGCTCTGAAAGCCCCACAGAAAACTGGAGAGATTCAAAGCTCATGTGCCAAGGATGACAAGAAGGCATCACCTGACTGTCACAGGATCCTGAGAACCCGAGTCCCAGCCTTGAAAACCACAGAGACGAGTGAGGAAAGAACACTTACCCCTATCAAGAGGGGCTGGAAATCCTTGGCTGTGCCTTTCATGATTCTGAAACCAGAAAACATCAAAAAGAGGTGACTGGGGCGTTACCCTGCCTCCCACAGAGCAAACTGAGCTCCTTTATGTGATGTGACGTGTGTGGGACACGGCTGCTCAAGTTAGAGCAGCAGGTCTCAAATCTGACTGTTGTAGCATCACCCGGGAACCTTTCCAAATTACAGATTTCTAAGCCTCTTCCCAGACATAGCGAATCAATCTCCAAGTGTTAGGCCCAGGAATCTGCATTTGGAAACGCTCTTTGGATGATTCTGATATACTTGGCTGTCCTTTTGGAATCACTGCTCTAGGAGATAATTTCCCAAACCTGGATTGCTTCACAGTCCTGCTCTGGCTCTTTGCCACATGTTAACACTCACTTTCCTATTGTTTTTTGTTTTGTTTTTTTAAATTGGAAACCATTCTCAAATACATATAGTACAAGAAGATAATGCATCTAGTTTGTTAACTTTGCAGTTTGACACGAGACAATGTTTGTAAATAATGGGCTGCACAAATAATGTCATGACAAGACAGAGATTACACATTGCTGTATTTCCTGCTCAGAAACTCCAGCACCTGGTCTATAATAGGTTTGCTTGGTAAATGCTTTGTATTGAATACAGAGCTGCATTTCTGCTCACCTTGAGCCTAGACAGTAAATCCATCAATGCCTCAGAAACGAAAGAGGACAAGAAGCTCTGTCTGGCATGAGTACATTCTGATCTCTGGCTGGGGAGGTCTTGAGTCTGATTTGAATGATAAGCTTCATGTAAACTTTATCTTTGGTTTTGAGTCAGACTTGAATTATAAACTTTTTGGCAAAGTGTGATTAGTTCCCTCCAAATCCAAATCCCTCCAAAGTAGCTGTAAAAACAGTAGGAGCCAGTCAGGCCACCTGACTACTTCTGGTGCCCGCTGCTGATTCCTAGTGCCCAAAACTGTTTCTCGTCATCTTGCTGTGATATCTTGCAGGGAGGCAGAAGAACCAGAAGCTCAGGATAAAACTACCTCTACCCCACATCGGATCCATAGGAAGAGTTCTCTCTTGACTTTGAATCGGATTAGGCAGCAGCTTCGGTAAGCCTGTTCTTAGCAAGCAGGAAACGTTCATCACTGCTGTCTATGATATCCATAATCTCAACTCTTAAAGCCTCCTATGTTTCTTGTTTGTTATTTGCTATTCCATTAAATTTGCCTTTTACTTGGTATGTCTGGGATTATGTTAATTCTACATAAATGTCACAGTTTGAAAGGGGCAAGAAACACTGTCCTGGATTCAGGGGGCTCCCAGGGCCCCCTATTCATACGCAGCAAGACTGTTAGTGGAGTGCCTAAAAGCATGAACTTTGATTCTGGCTACTTGGATTTTAACCTGAGCTTTGTAATACTATGTAACCTTGGGAAGGTTACTTCACCTTTCTAAGTCTCAGTTTCCTCTTCTATAAGATGGGACTGATAATACACAAGTCACAGGGTTGTTGAAGGATTTAATAAGATAATATAATTAAAGCCCTTAGCAGAGCATCACAGTAGCAAGGGCCCAAGAAGCAGAGCACATCCTATATTACTTGGTTGTAGGAAAGAGTGTAATATCTCTAGTCCACAGTGACCTATTAGGGAGCTTTTTATTTAGATACTGAATATCAGAAAATAATGTGTCCCACCATTCAGGTTTTTAGGTAATAGTAAAAGTGACCAAGAAGAGGATGAGTTTCTGCCGGCAGCAGAGATTTCAGACTCTGGCAGTGAGGAGGAAGAGACTTCCACACCACCCCTTCCAAGGAGAACATCCAGTAGGGTGTCCAAGAACCTATGCTCTTCCATGAAGTCATCCTTACAGACCCCCTCAAAGACACCAAAGAAAACCGTAAGGCTGTTTTAGGTTTGTTTGCCAGTGAAGCATCCTTCTCTTAATTTTAAAATTGTCATGGCTAAGGTCACACAGTCACAGCTGGATTCTGAGCACAGGTCCGTCATACTCAAAGTTATTCCACTTGGAATATTCATAGAAGAAAAGATCTAAGTGAACCCTAGGACTGAAAATGAATCCAGTAGCAATGATTTTGAATCCAAGTTCCTTTTAAGATACAGAACCAAATAGCCAAGAGCCAGACTTCCTGAGGGAGGGACGAGATCTGGCTCCTCATCTTTGCATTTCCCACAAACGCTAGCAGAACGCTTTATGCGTAATCTGTGGAGCCGGGGCGCAGGGGTGCAAGAGCCCCTGGCTCCAGGGGTTCCAAACAGATGAGGTTTGGCCACTTGCCGCTGACAAAATCCAAAGGCAGAGATGAGTGGTAGTGAAACAAGAAAGGAGTTTATTTCAGTGAGGCCACCCCCCGAGAAGACAGTGTTCTAACCTCTCAAAGACTCTACAAAGTGCTGGAGATACTTCTAGGTTTGTATAAGGAAAATGGGACAAAGGCAGGTGTGTACGTGCTGGTGGGCAGTAAAGTCAGGTCCATCATTGTCTTGGGGGTCAGTCCTGCAGGGTCTTGCTGGCGCCAGGGCAGTGGTTATAGCTTGAGGGGTAGTTTCATTTACCATCATGGGATGCCTTGCCCACATTAAGAGATAGGCTGGAAAGAAGAACTAAATCAGAAAGTGCAGACTAAGGTCCAAATGGCAGTGTAGTCCTCTTGCAAGTGCTCAGTGCGTATCGGATCTCAAATCCAGGGCTGCTGGGCTATGTTGTTTCTCCTGCGCCATTTGATTCACCTGAGAAACGGAGCACGACTGAGGTCTTAGTGAGGAACTGTGTAAAGTTAAGAGGGAAGAGGTAAATGGACATCTCTTCTGCTTCCTGTGGAATTTTAGCAGAATGTTGAACCTATTAAAAGAGGGTCTTACCATGTTCAGATGTGTTTGAGAAATGTTTGAATTACACAGTTAAATTGGTTCATTGTCACAGGAGTTCTCAGGGCCATTAATTTATTAATGTTATTGTGACCTTCCCAGAGGTTATTAGTGTATGAGTCTTTGATCAGGAAACTCTTCTGGAGTATATTGTTTTTAGGAAATGTCTATTTAATAGGAGACTTTTTCTAAAGCTGATCTCCGTATTTCCATATCAAGAAAAATGTGATTGGGCTGAAGTCAAAAAAGACCTCCGGAAAAGGAAATCAAATAGATCACCTTTAGATTAGTGATAATCTTACCTGGAGTTTCTCATTATGCAAATAGCTTATCAAGGTTCTGATTGCATCTGCTGGGTCCCACCCAGAACAAGGGATATTAGGGTGTGATGGCATCTTTAGCATGATAAAAAAGGTCAGAAGTCCACCAAGGTTTTTGATACCTTCTCAACAAGGTTTTGGTAGTCCTTTCTTGTTTTCTCCAACGGTAAGAGATAGAAAACTATTAGGGTGTAAGTGCTTTCTAAAGCCTGAGGAAGCAGTGGAGAGGCTCTTACTACTCTATAGCCTGGGGAAATCAGAGGGTGGGGAGGGGAAATGCCCCCACAGAAGTGAGTGCTTTGTGGAAAGAACATGAAGATGGGGTAGCAGACCTGCTCTAGAGAGCCAGTAGCAAGAAAGAAAAGAGACTAGGGCTGTCAGACTAGACTGAATAGTGACCTAGGGCTTTGGAGTGGAAAAATCTGGTGATGTCTCTCCAAGTCTGTGGATTATGGAAGTGCTGAGCTAAAGTTTGACCATATTTTCAAACAAATCTAGAGGAGAAACCTATGCATCAACCTCGGTTTATGCCTCCTACCCTACTGTGTATTGGGTAGGGTAATTAGGGTTTCTTAATTTCTTGTCTTTCAGGATAATATTTTACTTTTAAATAGTATTTAATCCATACTTTCATTCATTCTTTACTCAGATTGACATTGTTTTCAAATCCCAGGACTGTGTATAAATTAGAGAAAAGAAATTGTGTTTAGCCTGTGAACAGTATTTGTAACATGAGAGAGGGGGAGAATCGTACTTTATACAGAAAGGCACTAAGAGGTATTCACCACTTCTTTTATCAGATCATCATGAATCAGATTTGCTGATGTGTCCTAGATGGTGTTTTGCTTTGGTTTTTTCCTTCTGAAATATGTTCTCTTTTTGAACACAGCCCAAGCCTAGTACACCACGCCATGCCACTCCCCAGATCCCCAGCCGAAACCTGGCTGCCCAGGAGCCAGCCAGCATGCTGGAGGAGGCCCGGCTGAGGTGACACTGCTCGTGGGCCCCTGTTAGATAGGCAGAAATGGGTCTCTGTTTTCATTCACATCAAACAAGGAATTTGTAGTCATTCGTGTACATAATAAAGGTAGAGAGTAAAATGAACACGGGTGTTTAGAGAGAAGAAACCTTTCAAGCAGTGTCTGGGTGGGATAATGTGGACAGGTTCTCGAAGGAGTAACCTAGGCTACTGCCACCGTTTGCCCAGGGATAGAAGGTGGCTGATGAATCAGAATACTGCTTTTCCATTATGGTACCCTTTAGAACTGTGCGGGAACTTTTTTAAAATACGTAAGCCAAGATCTTCCCAGAAAACAAGTTGATAAATCAGAATCTATTATGGGATGAAGGCCATCCCTGTAATTTAGGAAAGCTCCCCAGGTGATATGTACCCTTGGTTAGAACCTATCAGTTGGGTAATTGGGGTGGAGAAAGGGATTATGAGGCCAAATGAAGAGATTTGAGAATGAAGGCATTCCTGTGGATTTGTAATTGAAGTTTCATAGAGAAACCTGCCCCATTTGTTACTGAGTGGATGGTGAAATGTTTCTGAAGTCCTCCTTTCCCCTTATTTATCACCGATCGTAGGCTGCATGTTTCTGCTGTACCTGAGTCTCTTCCCTGTCGGGAACAGGAATTCCAAAACATCTACAACTTTGTGGAAAGCAAACTCCTTGACCATACGGGAGGGTGAGTAATGCTGAGGCAAACTGGATGGTCTGGGGGGTACCCCCTGCTGGCCTACCACCTCAGTGTCACAGTTCAACTGAATGGCCTTTTCCCAGCGTCAGGAGAATAGGCAAAATTGTTGCTGAAGCCTGAAGGCTTCTAAAGCAGCTTTTGTTGTCAAAGTAATTCTCTAGGAAGAAAAACTCTGTCATTCAGAGAAAATGAAGCTGGTCTTCTGTGCATACAGCATTGCTTGTAGAATGAATGATTCTGTGTAACCAGGTCCTGCTCTGATTAGCTTCCAAGGACGGTCCTTACTGCCCCCACCTCCACATTTCAGGGGTCTGGGCCCTTCCTTCACACATCCCCACGCCTCTAACTGGTTGGTTATGGTGTGAGGCGGCTGGCACGGACTCAGCCCACGGGTCCTCCCCTCTTGCTGCAGGTGCATGTACATCTCCGGGGTCCCAGGGACAGGGAAGACTGCCACTGTGCACGAGGTGATACGGTGCCTGCAGCAGGCCGCCCAAGTAAATGACATTCCTCCCTTTCAATACATCGAGGTCAATGGGATGAAGCTGACAGAGCCCCATCAGGTCTATGTGCAGATCTTGCAGGTGAGTAAAGCTGTTTGAGCATTTCGGAAAATAGAGTTTCTTGGTGGCATATTTCTGAAAAAGGAGAGGTTTTGTGCTTATTGATATGTTTACAGTGTGCCAGGCATTGTCCTTTGTGTGAGGTAGCAAGAGTAAAGAATGCAGAATTCCTGCCCTCAGGGACCTTAAAGTCTAGGAGCTGGGCATGAATTATTGGAAGCCAGGACTTACTGACGTGGTGAAACCTGTTGGCACACAGGAGGCCCTGTGGCCAACTATGGAAAACAGATTAGAGGTTGGCTGGAGTTTGAACCTGGCTCTTGTATTCATTAGTGGTTTTCTTGGGACAAGTAATGTCCAGTTATAAATAGAGTCATGCAGTAATGATTTTGGAGATGCTTCTGGGACCCGCCTGTGGCTCACTTGCATTTCAAACACAGACTTTATCATCTCTTTTGGTGCCTTCTCTTCTCCTTCCAGGTTAAGGTTAAGACCAGAGTGGAAGGCAGAATTTAGGATACCAAAGTCCTCACACTAAATTGCTTCCTCTACTACAAATTTAACATTAAGCTCAGGAGAGTAAAATCCTTCCCATTTACCACACCTGCTTTTCCCCGCATTGCAGAAGCTGACCGGCCAAAAGGCAACCGCTAACCATGCGGCAGAACTGCTGGCAAAGCGCTTCCTGACCCGGAGGTCCTCTCAGGAAACCACCGTGCTGCTTGTGGATGAGGTAAGGAGGCGCCTCTGGGAGGACCGGAAAAGTGGCATGGTGCTTGATTGTGGTGTTCCAGGAGCAAATGCTGGGTTCAGAGGGAGGTCCTGCCTCCTTTCTCTCATCCCTCATTCATCTGAGCCTGTTCTTCGATGGTGAGAGGCCTGTGTCCGTTGATGTCCTTGCTGCTCTCATGGTGGGACCTGAGAAGCACAGGCAGCTAAAGCGGTGGTAACAGGTCTTCCACTCTGAGGCCCTGGCTCAGTTCTGTGGCTGATCCTGCATCTCTATCCCTTTCCTGGCAGCTTGACCTTCTGTGGACTCAGAAACAAGATGTACTATACAATCTCTTTGACTGGCCCACTCACAAGGAGGCCCGGCTTGTGGTCCTGACCATCGCCAACACGATGGACCTGCCAGAGCGCATCATGATGAACCGGGTATCCAGTCGACTGGTAGGTCCTAGGGCTGTTCTCAAGCCATTCTTACAGACCCATAATCTGGGCCAAGGAGTTCTAAAAATTAAATACACAGGAAACTAAAATAAGTGGGAAAAGTACAAAATGTGATTTCTGAAATTCCTGTAATTAAATATATCACCATTGCATGATTTTCTGCAAACACATCTTGGTGTTCTGCCACCTGGGTGCTCTTAAACTGCACAGAGCCCTGAAGGTCTAATTGTTTATTAAACGCATTGAAGCACTCGCCCCTCAATGCAAAGCACGTGCGTTGATGCACGGAGTACAGCGGGGAGCAAGGCAGACGCCGCCGCTGCCGCCCTTGGGGGCGTGGTCCTTCATCAGGGACTTAGAAGCGTGTCGAGTGAAGCCAGGAGCTGAGCCTGTGCTTACTGCAGAGGCGAAGATGCTCCCACGCGCTCTAATTAGAGCACCTCTGCCTTGATCTACTTCTGAATGATTCTGGGAGAAGAAAAGTTGTCTTCACCAAAACAAGAAATGACTTGAGCACCACTGCCACCCTGCAGGAGACTGGCGGCCGCTGTCAGCAGTGAAAGGAGCTGGAATCCGGGGCGGTCTCAGGCTGGACTGTGTAACCTGTTCCATGGCACTTGGAAATCAGGCTTAGGGACCTGAGGGTGGCTGTCCAGCAGCACTGTCAGAGTGGTTAATTAATGAACTTGTTCTCCATTGTCTTGTCTCTCCAGGGTCTTACCAGGATGTCCTTCCAGCCCTATACTCACAGCCAACTGCAGCAGATCCTAATATGCCGACTCAGACATATAAAGGCCTTTGAGGACGATGCCATCCAGCTGGTAGCCAGGAAGGTAAGTCACCTTCGGGGAGCTCCTACTTGCACCTACGAACCAGGCGGCAAGTCTGCTGAGCACCTGCCAGTGTGAGGCCTTGTGTTGGGTGCTCTGCAGATGAAGAGAAATTTAGAAAGTCCTGTAAACATAAATATCAAAAAGTAGAAACAAAAGTGTGAAAAGTTCTTTAACTTTCTTACTGTATAATTAATCAGCAGGTTATGAGTATGGTGGGCTTCTGTACAAATGAAGATGAATTGATTCAGGGGTCAGGCAGCTTTGTATAATGAAACGGGCAGTAGAGGCCGTCGAGTAGCAAACCTGGTTGGAATTCTGGCTCTGATACTTAATAGATATTGGAAGCTTAAATGGAAGTTACTTAACAACTTCCGGAGCCTTAGTTTTCTTCTCTGAAAAATGGAAATAATAGTGTCTACTTCATAGGATTGTTTTGAGAATTAAACAAGATCATGTCTGTAATGTGCCTCGCAAGGTGCACACTCCAGGATAGGTGTGAGGTATTGGATACCTACATCCTCCAAGCTCACTGCCGAGGAACAGAAGTGGGTTAAATGTCTGAGCTTCAAGCTGAATGCAAGAAACCACACATCTGCAGTATTTCAGCACTTAAAGGAATTATAAACTTATTTCTGGTTCTTCTTGCCCGAAGTGATCAGAATTCTGAGTACCTAGAGCCGCAGCACATGTAATGACAGCTCAGAGCTGGGTGCTGTATTGGTTGCAGGGGGTCAGAGGCGAGCCAGACAGGGAGCTGGTCTCCAAGCTTTGCTCTCTGGAGCTCAGAGTTACCATTTAACCCCTCTGTTGGGCAGAGTTTTTTCACTTCTGCTATCTTTCTAAAAGTTCTTTTTTTGTCTTTTTGTCTCTCTGAAGGGTCCTTTTTTTATGCCATTCTGTTTATTGAGGTGGTCTTCTCTTTTCCTCCAAGATGCTTTTTGTCTGTTGAATTTGGTCTCTATCTTGCATTGTTAGAGACTTTCCTCAGATGTCTTGGTTATTCCACTCTGATGTATGAGTGAAGATTAAAAAGCTTTTGGGGAGCTCTGAGCACATGAGTGGGGCTTGTTCACTGAGAACTTCACTGTGGGGCAATCTGATTGGGCCAATTTCAGTATCTCCAATTCTTTCCCGTTAGAATAGTCAGATTTCCCAAGTAGGCATCCTGTGTCCTGCCTGGAGGGCAGTATTCTGGGAGTGGGGGGGTAGGCTGGAGTCAGAGAGGGTGGAGGTCTTCAAATTCAGCATGCAAACAGTAGCCATTTATATCTAGTAAGGGACCTCCCCTCCCCTGCAATAATACCTAGTGTTCCCTGGCCCAGAGACTTTCTCTTAATCCTTGCTTGAGAATAAATCTCTGGACTCTTGCCATGGTAGAAGAGGGATAATCTCCAGGGCAAAAAGTTTTATAGCGACCGTACAAATAACCAAGGCACAAAATTTGCCACAGACCCCTAAACCTTCCTGATGGCCCTAATGTTTACCCAACAGCATGAAATGGGAGAAGGAATCTAGGGCAAGGGTCAGCGAACTTTTTCTGTGTAGGGCCAGGGAGGACATGTTTTAGGCTTTGTGGTTATAATGGTCTCTGTTACCACTGTTCAACTGTGCCCTTGTATCTTGAAAGCAGCCATGCCCAATAGGTAAATGAATGGTCACGGTTGTGTTCCAATAAAACTTTATGTACAAAAATGTGTGGCAGGCTGTAGTTTGCTAACTCCTGGCATCAGTTTGTTAACTTTCAGCCAGTCCTCCTTAGTTTAGCCAAACATCCCCCTTTACCTCTAGTTCCAGTATCGCTGTCGTCTGAGCACTTTGGAGATATTTAGTGTAACTTAGATTTTTTTTCTCGGATTCCTCCATACTGGCTTAGGAATTGGCTCTCTCCAGTCTGTGGAGTCAGCCACTACTCTGCCACCTCTTTCCAACTTGGAGAATTATATTCTCCACTCCTCTCCTGTTGCTTCCCTTCCTTTTTAGGGTTCTTGGTTTCAGAAGGCATCAAATTTAGATGCTGTTTTTACTCAAAATTTTGCCTGTAATTTCAAACCTCTTTCATTTCTATACCTATAAAGAAACATACCTATTTTATGTTGTTTCTTACAATTATGATATCTGAACTCTGTGCATCTAATTCTGTTGATTGCTGTTTCCCGTGCGTATGTGGCCTTGTTTCCTTGTTTTTGTGTCTTGATTTTTTTTCTAATTTTATTTTCTATTTTTTCCTGTATGTTCGTGTTTCTTAGAGCTTCCTCTGAGAATTGAGGACTGGGTTGAAGTTAGTTCATTTAGAATTTGTTTTTGCTTCTGTCAGTTACCAAGGGCCACCATCAACTGGGACCATTTTTTTTTTGAAGATTTTATTTATTTGAGAGAGAGAGAGAAACACAGCAAGAGAGGGAACACAAGCAGGGGGAGCAGGAGAGGGAGAAGCAGGCTTCCCACCGAGCAGGGAGCCCGATGCGGGGCTCGATCCCAGGACCCTGGGATCATGACCTGAGCTGAAGGCAGGCGTTCAACAACTGAGTCACCCAGGTGCCCCATCAACTGGGACCATTTTTAAACAAAATCTCCACTTCAGGTTTTTAGGAGACACAACATAAATTTGGGCTACAAATCTACGTGAAGGCTTGTAGTTGCAAAGACTCCGTTTTTTTACACGTACCTGGCACCAGGGTCCACACAGGCCATTTTTCCATCCCTTCCACACAGTGCGTCTTTCATTCACCCTCATACTGAGGCTGTAGTGGAGGTCAGAGCCTAAGTGTATACACGGTCTTCTGTTAGATTCCATGTGGGGTGGGCCCCAGCTCTTCTTGTGTCTCCTTCACCGCAGCAGCAGTGAAAAAGGGTATTTATGGTCACCACTGTTCATGGATACCCCCAGGGCAAGAACTGCTTTGGGCGTTTTCGTGCTTCACTTTGTTTTTAGGCCTCTGCAGTAGCTCTGGAGTCCATGTTATTAATGGCTACATGGTGCTGCCTCACAAGGCAGTGGTAATGGTGATGGGAGGAAAGAAGTGGTAGGCTGGAAGCATCTATGGGACATCTTTACCCATTGGATATGAAGAATCAGAGAAGGGGAGAATATAAGCTGATACTCATTTTTTATCTTGGGTTACTAGAAAAGTGACCTTTGTTTTGAACGTCTTAAATTTGCATCCTGAAAACATACACAAAACATTTATAAACTCTGATCATCTCACTTCCCACAGATGACCACTTTTAATCTTGCTGTGTTGTGTATGTATATACCTATACAATTTGCTCTTGTAAACTTAACTTAGCGTGAATTTTGGAAGGAAATAATTATCTCAGGATGTCGTCAGGCAGGATGTTACCTGTGATGGTTGTTGGGTAAATGGTGGGGATTGCCGGCAAGTACTGGGAATACTGAGAGATCCTTGCAGGCTGCAGAGTCCAAGAATTTCCTCTGTGAAATTTAAAGTGCAGGTGGCTTTCTGAGTCAGCTTGGGAAAGTACAGGATTCTCTACAATGGGAATCTGCATGCATGGCAAGAAAGGAGCAATGGGGTCACTGGCATTGTGGGTTGGTCAGAGTCCTCTAACCACAGACTCCCCTGTGTTCTCCAGCTTTGTGGCTTCCTTCCCTCTTGATCCTGGTTCATTTAGCCATTCACTAGGTGGTCTCCAAAATTTACCACATGCTGTTAGGGAGACTGAGGTTCTGGCTTTACCATCAATAGGCTCCACATCAGCCTCTTGGCTTTGGCTGACTGCTTCTGGGGCACATTGTTCTCTTCAAGCAAGGAATGAGAACACTTGTGTTTCTAGGTGGGTCAATAATGATCTTGGGCCAGTGGTCTCTTTTAAGTTTTACTTCCCGGATTTTAAATAAAGCTGAGAATTCCTGCCTTTTCCATTATGGATTTGTCCATAAATCCAAGACATAGGTTTGGACTTAAGGAAGAGTCCCAGAAGCAGCGTAGTAATGTAAATCCAGGCTTCCACCAGGTTCCCACTGGGGCTAAGCACATAACGTCAGGCTTCAGCCCATTCCCAGCACTGCCTTTCTATTTTAGCTGAACCCAGAATCTGTTGGTTTTTCTCTTGGGCTGAGATGGTAAAAGGACCTCAAGGAATAAAATATTCCCTCTTGTAGGTAGCAGCCCTTTCCGGAGATGCACGACGCTGCCTGGATATTTGTAGGCGTGCCACAGAGATCTGTGAGTTCTCCTGCCAGGAGCCCAACTCTCCTGGCCTGGTCACTGTAGCCCACTTACTGCAAGCAGTAGATGAGATGTTCTCATCGTCGTATATCACTGCCATCAAGTAAGTTGCTTCTAACGGATGTGGATAACAATATTGTCCTATGATCATGTGTAACTTGACAAATATAACTACAAAGGCAATTTTATATATAAATGTTTCAAAGTAACGCGCTGTATGCCTTAAAAATGCATAATGTTATATGTCATATATATTCAGTTTTTTAAAAAGTAAGATGCTTCTGCTTCCTGACCCTGAACCTTTCTTGGAAGACCACAGGAGAGGTCCACAGCGTGGGAAGGCCATGGGAGTTTCTAAGCTTTTATTCATTCAACCTGCATTTACTGAAGACGCTGTCCTTTTCTTAAGGGGCATAGTCTACAGGGAGATAGGAATGCAAACCTAGGAGAGTGGGAGAATCATGACCACTTACTGAGTTATACTCCAGGTGCTGAGTGAAGTAAAGTGCTATTGGAACAAGAGGAAGGAAGCAGCTATTCCTCTCCCACTGAGGCAGATGTATATTTCCAGATGTAGTTGCTGTGTTCCCTGGCTTCCATAGTGGCATTTTCTGTATCATTTTGAAACTTTAGGGGGGTAGAGAAAACCTTGCTGAATAATATAGAAGAAAGTTGTTCCCAGTTTTTTCCTTTCTCTTCTCTAAAGACACAATAACTTTACATGGCTTTTCTCTGAGTCAGTGGTATAGCCACTTATGAGAATTCACATCTCATTTTCTTTGAAGAAATTCCTCTGTTCTGGAACAGAGTTTCCTGAGAGCCATCCTTGCTGAGTTCCGTCGATCAGGACTGGAAGAAGCAACATTTCAAAAGGTGATTGATCTTTTCTTTAAATCCTTTTAGATTTTGCTCTTGATGCCTTTTAAATAGGAGGGAATTTCAATGGCTTTGTAAGAGTTTGTCTCTATTTGTGCCAACCCAATTATGCCAAAGAATGTCAGAGCAACACCTATTTTTATTTTTTATTTTTTTATTTTTTTTTATTTTATTTTTTTTTAAAGATTTTATTTATTTGAGAGAGAGAGAACACATGAGAGGGGACAGGGTCAGAGGACGAAGCAGACTCCCTGCCAAGCAGGGAGCCCGATGCGGGACTTGATCCAGGGACTCCAGGATCATGACCTGAGCCGAAGGCAGTTGCTTAACCAACTGAGTCACCCAGGTGCCCCCTATTATTATTTTTTAAGGATTTATTTATTTGAGAGAGAGTGTGTGAGCAAGGGGAGGGGCAGAGGGAGAAGGAGAAGAGAATCTCCTCCCCTCTGAGCAGGAAATGCAGGGCTCAATCTCACCACCCTGAGATCATGACCTGAGCCAAAATCAAGAGTCAGACGCTTAACCAACTGAGCCACCCAGGTGCCCTAGACCAACACCTATTTTTGTATGATGTTGTATTCAGTTGCATGAAAAGAGACCTTTAGCAACTGGTTTCTGCATAGTAGATGGAAGGAGTATTATGTGCCAGATACCATTCTAGGAGTAAGAGATTCAAAGATGAGTAAAACAGGAGGTGCCTGGGTGGCGCATTCTATTAAGCCTCAGACTCTTGGTTCTTCTCAGGTCATGATCTCAGGGTGGTGAGATCGAGCATGGCATCGGGCTCTTTCTCTGCCCCTCCCCACCTGCGTGTGCTCACTCTCTCTTTCTCTCTCAAACTAAATAAATAAATCTTTAAAAACAAAACAAAGACAAGAGTTACTGCCCTAATACAATTATGGTGTACTGGGGATAAGGCTCTCAGAATGACCCATTTTAAAAACAAATTACAAAGATCAATGCAAACACTCTGAGCATAGTTTCAATTACTGAGTAAAAGGACTCACTAGGGCTAGTGCCTTAGAGGTCTATTTAAAACTAGTGTCCATAGTTAATGGGCTGCCTTTAGAGATTGTTAAAGGTGTTTGAGTGTGTACCTGGGAGTGTGTATGTCCATGTGTGTGTGACTATATTTTTTTTTAAAGATTTTATTTATTCATTTGACAGAGAGAGAGAGACAGCAAGAGAGGGAACACAAGCTAGGGGAGTGGGAGAGGGAGAAGTTCCCACTGAGCAGGGAGCCCGAGGCAGGGCTCGATCCCAGGACCCCGGGATCATGACCTGAGCCCCGCGTCAGGCTCCCTGCTCGGCGGGAAGCCTGCTTCTCCCTCTCG